TGGATGTGAACCCTGTCTAATCCCTCTTGACCCTCTGAAATAACCATTTACTGTTCCATTGAATCCCACTGAAAAAGAAGTAGTGCAGACACAACCCTTTAACCATCTTAGATAGAGTTCAAGAAACCCATAGTCCCTTAGGATACTGAATATGAATTCCCACCGAAACAGTGTCAAACGCCTTAGCTATGTGAATCTTACGTTTCTGACCTTTATCCTTGTGGTAACCATTTACCAACTCACTAGCAAGCAGTGTGTTTTCAAGATATCCCAGGATGTCTTGAAAAATCCCGAGGTAAGCCCGTCTGGACCAGGAGCCTTATTAGGGTTCATGAGCTTTGATGGCCTTTAAACTGYTGGACTCTGAAGAGCTTGTACCTGCAAACATTGAAGTAAACAGATAGACTCTCTCTTGAATTTGTGAGTAGTTGTCTCTGTTTTATTCTCTCAAGCTTGTCTTTAGTGATTTTAGTCTTGCACATAGGGCAGAGAGAGAAAGCCCTGGGAGGAACCAATGATTCCGGTAAGATTCCAAACAGTCTCAAAAGTTAGTAGGAATTTGGGGGTGTTTAGTGAGATAGTTGAAGAATTTGAACGGTGGTTATAGGTTAAGTTACCATTCAGTAATGTATATAATTTTTTTTTATTGACAATCACATATCGTTATAACATAGTCCACACTTACTGCAATGGCCTTGATCTTTGACGTAAGTCACAGCCCCTTTATTACCAATTTGTTCATGTCCAACAACCGCATAAGATAATTATAGAAGACAATTATCGAACTCCAAATCATTTGATCACCAAAAAACGCAGAGAAGCAGCTACCTGTCAGAACTAACATCAATTACCCTTGTAACGTTTACGCGACCTTCCCTCGTCGTCACTAGTATCATCGTCATCCTCTTCACTTGTGACAGGGCTTATAGGTCCTCCTCCATTTAATAGGCTTTTCCAACGCCATAACGGGACCTCTGATTGGTCGTGGTCGTCTTCATCAGCCACTACTAAGAAAACATCGTAATGTCTCCTTCTCAAAAACCGAACAATGCTTACAACCTCCGTCTCGTCTTCCTCAGGCATGTCTTTTATAATCAACATGAAATTTAGTTTAGTCCTCGGGCGAAGAACATCCATACGTGCATTTGAAAGCATGCTCAGTAATATGTTAGTATGTCTCCCATATCTACATCCTGTGAAAATACATATAAACAGAGATCGAGATCAGAGAGTAAACCAGAGAAAGCAAACAAAACAAAAAAAGAGTAAACGAACTCACACCTAGTCGAAACAGTGGGATTTTGGGATGTAGAGACTCAACATGCACTGAACGAGAAGAATGTTTTCTATCTCCATAAGCTAGGATTCGAACGTCACCATAACCTTGGTTCTTGATAGATGATTTGACATTTTCATAAAACGAATCAACCGTGTAACCCTCAGGGAGAGGGTAATCCTCTATGTCCCAGTAGACGAATGTCTTAGTATCTGTTTAGTGATGATCGTGCATATATAGATTTTATTAGCTTCAACAATTTACCAAATTGATGAAATCTAATCCAAATTTTATAAATTTCGAGCAATAGATAGATATCTTACCATAGAATCTTCTGCGTTCTTCCTCGATTTCCATTGTTATCGACTTGAGATGGAGAAAGCTGGAGATTTGCTTGGAGAAGGAAGGAAGAAAGACAAAAACAATTTAGGGTTAGATCCTCTGTGGATTGTGTTAGGAGATCTCGCCTTGAATATATTTCTTGATAGTTATTAGGAAAGTTAATATTTGTCTATAAGTTATATTTCCTATTTCATATATGTAAAGAATTTGTTAGACAAGTTATTATCTTGTATAAATAAGTCGGTTGATTAATCAATAAAATTTATATAAATAAACCGGTTGACTAATCAATATAATTTGTTAGACAAGTTATTATCTTGTATAAATAAGCCGGTTGGTTAATCAATAAAACTGAAAGAAACTATTTTTCTTTTCTTTGTTTGTGTTTATTACATCCACTTATGATTTAGTTATAAAGATATTAC